GCCAGGGGCGTCTCGTTAGCTGAACACCCAGAAAGTTTGTAATTTGTGCAGGAGTAAAACAATTTTACGTTTTTTTTTTAAAAAATGGATTTTATAATTCCGCTTCATAAATTTTAAATCACAGCAGTTTGGAGTACAGTGCTTTGGAATGTTAGTTTTCGTTGACTAATGTTAAAATGATAATCCTTACATTTGACATAGTGCGTTGTCACATTGTTGAGAAGTCTCAAAGAGAAGGATTTGAATGATCTGTTGACTCCCAGAAGGACAGACTCTCTGGGCGTAATGGCCTGATGCTGTAACTAAATGTTGCTAAGTATTAGTGGCTCCTTTCATGATGTTAGTTGCAATAGAACTAAAATGATGCTACGGTATCTTATTACCGATGTTTTCCATCTGTGCCGTAGGCTGATCCCGATGGAATGTCCTTAAGTGAAAAGCAGCAGAAGCAGTGAAGCAATGATTCGCTGAACTTGTTGATAGCAGTGGTTTAGTCTTAATCCATCCATCTGGTTGGAATTATTGTTATGAAATGTTGATGCTGGCAATCGTGCTCTGTCCATCTAAGATATCGTTCGTGTTTTTTTCTCAATTATTTTCATGAGGAAGAGAAATCTATCATTGCACCGAGGCACTGGGGAATTGAATTGCATCCATTTAAGCTATGAGCAGAAATGCTCATGACTATCATGAATCTTCCCCTTCTTGTTCTTCCCCTTCACTACTGCAATGCCCCAATCCTACACTTCTGCTACGCTCAGTCGGCTTCTTTGTTGTCGCCTCCCTACCCGCTCCATTATTGGTGGGAGGACTGTCAGCCATTTTGCCCCCCTCCGCCACTCACACACACATACACAAGTTTCCTCACTGCACGCGCCTTTGTTTACCAAGCAGTAAGTAGGAACCCATTTGATAATTGATTGGCAGTTCACTTTCTGGGACGTCCTCCCGACGTGAAAGGCACTATACAAATATAATTTTGTATTTTGTAATAATCCCTCAAAAGCAAATCCGGTCATTGAATCCACGACTGTTTGCGGGACAGTGCTGTGTGCAATTGGCTGCCGAGTTTCGCCCCAAAAATACAGTCAATCCATTTTACAGTATATTCTGTGAAGCGCTTTGAGACGTCTCAACGAAGTGGCTCTATTGTAGAAGAGGCCGGATAATTTTTTTGTGGACTGTGGAGGGAGTGATGTGAGATTGTGAATGGCCTTTTCTGTATCCACTTGTTATGTTTGTCAGAGTTGGAAAGAGTTCGAAACAAAGGAGTAAATTGTTTCAGTGGAATTTTATCATCCTTATCATGATTCTGAAAACTCTGACATCCAGTTCCCAGTTCATGCTGTTTAGTGAAAACTATCAGCTGTTCATAGCAGATAACACTGTGTCTTTTTGATCTTCAAAGTAAAAATTGATTAATACTGCATGAGCTTTGGCGTCCGTGCTTACATGAAGATTCACCATTCTAGTATTAAAGTGCCAACATGGGTTTATATAGTGCTTTCTATGCAGGCTAAAACGTCTCAAAAGTACTTCATTGAAACAATAGAGGGAAGAGGGACTCAACAGGGAGGTGCAGAAATGAAGAATATTAATAATAGTAATCCTTGCATTTGATATAGCGCCTTATCAGGTCATCGAGACATCTCTAAAAAGCGCTTTACAGAATATACTGTAAAGTGAATTGACTGTATACTTTGTGGGCGAAATGCGGCAGCCAATTGCGTAAACAGAGGCGTGTGGCGTATGGAAACCTGCCCAACATTTCGCCTTGCCGGGACTCAAACCCAGGTCTCTCGCTTGCGAGGCAAGTGCTCTAACCACTGAGCTACAGTTAACTAGTTGAATGTTAACTAAAGGCATAGTGAAAGAAAGTTTTGAAGACGGTGAGAGAAAGAAGTTAATGGGATTTCAGGAGAGAGCAGGGGCTCAGAGTCTGAAGAGTCAGTCACAGGTGGTGGGATGAAGTGAGTGAGGAACGTTCGAGCAGTTGACCCGAGTGTATAACGTGTGTATCAGTAACCATATGCTATTTTCAGCAAGACCTCCGTAGCTGGGGGCAGCCAGTTAACCTTTTGCTTGCTGTTTCAGGACCGAGTTCACAAGTCTTAGCCACAGGCTAAATGGTGACCACAATCTGAAAACGTTTTGGTTTGACCTTCTTTCTCTAGTTGCCAGATTTTAATTTGCGAGGAGGTAGCGCACCTAAAAAGGAGATATCTTCACGCGCGCGAGTGCTGAGCATGCAGGCGTTATTGCACACGACTGTGTTTTGGGTGCGCTCCTGTTTGGAGCGTGCTGCCGTGTCTCAGATCAGCTCTAAAACGTGTAAATACACTGCAGGCTTTTCCCACGGAGGTTCTAATGTGTCTAATCAACGTGTTTACAAGCCAGGGGATAAGTTAACTTTCAGGGTTTACTGATCTTCATTAGCTGCTGCTGCTGCAGCAATAAAATGTTTACAGGGTTTGTAACTCGCCCTTCACCTGACAGCCAGAGAGAAAGGATTTATGTGCACATGACAGACTTAGTATGTGCAGCACGTTTGAGACATTCACTGCACGTGGTGCATAGCTACTGAACCTTATGTTGCCATATCTTAGACGCAAACTCGGTTGGACCTGTGTTTGGGTCTCTACGCAATTGTTTCTGTGATGTTAGGACTGGGGGAAGGGGAGAAGCGCAGGCCAGGAGGTTTTCTAATGTGGAGATGGAAGAATATTGCAAGTTTTTTGCTTGTTTAACTTTGATTTGGTGAAGTCTCTTAACAGGGGTCAGAGTGAGAGAGAAGTTCATGATGGGGTGGCTTTTGTTGAACGATGCAGGCGAGTGTGATGTTGTCCAGTGCAGTGTAGAGGATTTTCATCGATGTGCTGACTCGACCTAATCATTCTAAAAAAAAACTGCAGATGGTTATGTATTGCCAGCATAGAAGTAATCGTACTGAGGATGGTAAATATGTTCATGTGCACGTAAATGTACTGATGTGGTTAAAGAGTAAACCAGGCATGAACTATATGTGCAGTGCTTACACCCATTTAGATTCATTACAGGTGCTGCCTTCAGCACACTGAGGTACTGTATATACAATTTAGCATTTAGGAGGCCCAGGTTTGACAAATCCTTATAATCGACAGAAGTAATTTTGACTTACAGTCAAGGATCACTGTCTCCAGGCCCCTTTGCCAGGTACCCACAACGCATTTGTTCACTTGAGGATTTTTATGCTTCAGGATAACAAGGGATTACAAGTTAATTTGTCAATATGGTGTTTTTCTGTNAAAAAAAAACACACACACACTCTTTTAATTTTTTCCTGGTTGTGACGATGTGGGTTGTTAATTCTGGGGAATGGTTCCACAATTTCATTTTTAGCAACAAGTGTCTACATCAAATGCTGCCAGGCCATATTGCCACCTTTTGGGAAAGTGGGGTCAGGGGAAATGGATGAGTAGAGCTGATGGGATTGGGAACAGAGGCAGGCCATCACCTGTCTTTGACGTTACTGCGCTTCTTTTGTTCACGTTGGATGTTTACCCCTTACAACAACAGCAACAATGTCCTTCACACGGGACAGTGTTCCAGAGTGCTTGACAGTGGCGGAGTCTGACCCCCGAGCCAGGGGGAGAGGGAGCGGGGAGGTGACCGTAAGCATAATCAAAAAGGAAGGTGCATCACTATCATACGCTAAACGCTGACGTCAAGCTGCTTTGGACATATTTCACTGTCGCCTATCAGAGAGGAGGGAATTCAGTCCGCCCTACTCTGGTCTTGACTTCCAGATCTGAAAGCACCAGTGCGCAAGCCTACTGTGCCTCCCCCACCCACCCTGATATTCCTCAAAACTGTGCTTAGAATATATTTTAATAGACAGTTTTTCAAATTTCATCGCTGCCCTCCCCCCACCACCCTCCCCCCACCCACAAAAACACTGATTGTAGGCACGCCAGGGAGATGCGGGTTTCAACACGTCATTTGTTGAAATCCACGTCGTTCAGATCATCAGAAACCAGAGGACAAAGAAAGTTGTTTCACCCTTCAACTATCCAAAGTCCCAGTGCTGTCGTTCTCAGAAACATTGAACTGACTGGATAAGAGTGTTTGTTGAAGCCACTGTATTGTAACCGCTTGTTGCAGAAGAGACCTGAAAACTCACTTGGTGTGACCATGACTTGGAACTGCAGTCAGGTCAGATTGGAAATAAAACCAGTGCTGTTTTGTGTCTTGAGCCAACCTCTGCTCCCAATGTGTACTTCAGCGCAGCTCTAGGTTGAATTTATATTTAACGAAAAGTCTGAACACAGACAAAAAAAAATGTTTCCACTTAAATCTTATGAACTTCTTGCAGCACGCTGGCTTTTGATCAATAAGAATCCTATAGCTGGAGGCTGTAACCTTTTACAGCAAAGTAATTGCAGCTCTCTGTCGGCATCTGTGACATATTTAGTAACACATCTTATCTAATGTAGGACCATCATGTTCCCTTCATTTAATTTCCAGGCTTTTGGATTTTTTTAAACTCAAAATTGGTTTGAAGGGAGTATAGTAAAACTCGCAAAATTCTGAACTGTATAAATCGTATAATCGCCTAATTCGTACATCTGCCTAAATCCTGTTAAATTTTCTATTATTTCTAAGTTTCACATAACTCGTACGTTGCATATTTCATATGACTCATAAGTCATACAAAATGTATGGTCCCAACTGATACCACATATGTGAGGTTTTATTATTATAATATTTTATAATCAATTTTATTATTATAATATTTTATAATATAACAATCCTTGTATTTGATATAGTACCTTATCAAGTCTTCGAGGTGTCTCAAAGCGCTTAACAGAATACACTGTAAAATGAATTGACTGTATATTTTGTGGATGTATTTTGAAGTCTATTTAATGTGAAACAATCCTTTCTGTAAGGGTCATGTTTTAACCTTTTCACAATAATTAATCCAGAGGCCCTTTGACTGAGTCTGAATTTCTACTTTGCAGTTCTGTGTGGAAATGAATCAGCCGACTCTCCCTAATGTTCGTAGGTGGAAAGGTCCGAGGGGTTGGTGGAAATGTGCTGTGTCTGAGAAACCATCTGGACAGTTTCATAAGGTTGGAAACCAATTAAAATTTCACCTGAAATGCAAAACTCTGAAATGTTTTTGGAGAAAAAAAATGTTTACAGTGTTGCAAGGTATTGTTTTCACATACAATGGAGTCACTTATCACTGCTGTGGCCGTCATGCTGGGCAGTAAATCCTGACTGAACACGACACTCGTCTGTCTCTATGTGTTTTGTACCAGCCGTCCCATGAAACGCACATTAAAGCTCCTCCGCTTGGCATTGTCCGTACTGCCTTAAGAAGTCTCCAACTCATTCACGTTGCCATTTTGTCACCGTAAAGCGGGTGAAGCTGCTTATCGGCCTTCCCAACACTTCCCTTCAGATCATTCAGAACTCTGCAGCTCGTGTCCTCTCCTGCACCAGGCTTCGTGAGCCTATCACCCCCACCCTCGCCCGGCTCCACTGACTCCCCAGAGGATAGTCACTCCCTTGCTCCTTCCTACCTCTGTGACTTGCTAACGCCATATTGTCTGTCCCCTCCGCTTAGCAGGCTCCAGCCTGCTCCACGTTCCCCTGCCCGGCCAGCACCATACTCTTTAAGAGCTCCACCCTTTCAATCCCTTTGTGCATCTCTGATGCGGGATAAATCGCCCCTATCCTGCCCCACCCCCGTCCCCCTGCCAAAGAATGGTGTTCAACACCTCCAGAAGAAACTACCTCTTCTTCTATAGTGCAGTGTTTGCTGTGAGTAAATTGGCTTCAGAGTTCACCCTAAAAACAGTCACTACACTTCACAGTTTATCCTGTGAAGCTTTTTGAGATACCTTCTCGATGTGAAAGGCACTATACCAAATGCAAGGAGTATTATTATTATTATGACCAACAAAGAATGAACTACTGCCTATATCCAGTTTTGGTGCCAGCAGTTTGTGCAAAAATGGCATAAAGAAGGTACTTTAGTTAATGAAACATCTTTGATGTTGAGTTGCTTGAATCACTCTTGCAATTGATTACTCCATGGGGAATTTCCTAAAATTATTTTCATGAGTTAATACTTTTCATCCCTTCATTAGAAGTTTGACAAGTTACCCGTTTTTTTCCTGTGGAGTCCTGTAACTCCTTGGGTTCGATTCCCGGCAGGGAGATATGTTGGGCAAGTTTCCTTACTCCACACGCCTCTTTACCTAGCAGTAAGTAGGAACCATTTGGTAGTCAATTGACAGATCGCTTTTCCGGGGGTAATAATTCCTTAAAAAAATAATAATTTGGTCATTCAATCCACGACTGTTTGTGGGACACTGCTGTGTGCAACTGGCTGCCCCATTTCGCCCAGAAAATATACAGTCAATTCACTTTACAGTATGTTCTGAGAAGCGCTTTATTATTTTTCATTATAAAATGGGTTGCATTCAGTGTTTGTTACCTGACTTGCTTTAATGCCTGTTTATTTTACCAATCTCTGGATTATTGAGGGTTTGCTGAACAAACGGCTTGTTTTTCCTTTGTCCTGAGAGAAAATGCATTGATCGCCATTTCAACATCTGTGACAGTTTATCGTCTTTATCGCTCTCAGGGTGTGGAGTACGCTGGTTACCTTTGGGACAGCAGCTCAGGGCTCGAGATGAAAACCACCATCCTCCTGGATAACGCACAAACCAATGGGAATGGGAAACTCCACCTCTCCAAGCCTTACCTTGCCCGTTTCAAAGTAAGCACTCGCTTTTGTTTCTGCCAGTTCAACATTAATCCTCCTGGAGGAGTTTATGTTCATTTATTAAGGAATAAATGTGAAGGGGAGAGCAAATGGATCAGGCCCTGAGAGACCTTCCATTGAATAGTGCTGGGATTTTTTTGTTTCACCATCATACTGTCATACAGTTTCTCTGTCTTTCACCCCCACCTCACCTCACCATCACAGTTGCCATTAGCTAAATAACTACAGTAGAACCAGGAAGGTCAGGAGTAAGGTCACTGATGTTTTCACCTCCTGCTACTGTTAATTGGGTTACTTCAGTCTGGGAAAAGCAAAACAAAAGGTTTTGTGCTTGTGCTTAACAACAGTCCGGATGGAAATGGCTGTGAGTTTTAATCAGAAAACATAGGGCAACACTTACAGTACAACCACAGAACCAAGTTAGAAGAGGCACGAAGAACGGGCACTTAGGAGTGAGTATGACTGAGTGAGTCTCCTTCATTCGCCCACAAAATATACAGACAATTCACTTTACAATATATTCTGTGAAGCGCTATGAGACGTCTCGAAGGCGTGATAAGGCGTTATATCAAATGCAAGGATTATTATTATTATTGCACCTGTGTCTGTAAGATTTTTTTTAATCACTATCCTTGCGTCAGCCTGCCAGAAGCACTATTCAAAAAAAGAAGGCCAACAAGCCCCCAAATAAAAATGGACGTTCACTTCAGGGCTATTTGTGGGTCATTGCTGGGCCCAAAGTGGTTGCCGCATTTGTTTACAATTACACATTTGCTGCACTTTGCAGTGTGTCCTATGAAGGACGTGTTGGGGCAATCCTTCTGATGTGGAAGCGCTATGTCAAATGCGAGGACGATTATCTTATTATTAACCTCCTGATAGAGAAGCATATACTTATTTCAACAAGCTGCAGCATTCCACCGCAGGTGATTTCACTCTGACTTGTTTCTGTACTCAGATTGGAACAATTGAAGTAATGCTGGTCAATATTCACATGAAAGCTGCTGTTGCCCTGGGAGAGAACACAGTGAAACCTCATCCCGAGGGCCAGAAAACCTCCCTGTTTACAGATGTGCTGCAAGATACCCTGAAAGGTAAAGAACACACTTTCGATCTTTGGAGAACAGAATACCCTCCCTACCCACCCCCATCCACTACACACTGCATGCAACCCAAACCCCAAATTTCCACAAACGCAGGTCTACGTATCCCGCCCCTCCCCAACTCTCAGCCCTTTCGCTAGATTTGGAATGCTGAGGCTAAATGTGGTGTTCCCACTAAATGTGAGATCAGAAACTTAGTACAGATCAAGGTCCAAACTAAGACCGCTCTGTTCTTTATGATTCAGTATCACACTGTATCACATTCAAGCCGAAAACCCACTTTTTATTGAAGGTAATGTCCCCACCAGTCCTCACGGTGGATCCTTAATGCAAAATCAGAAATGCTGACAGGCAGATCACATTGCTGTTACGAATGAGAAAATGGCTTTGCATCAAACCAGAGCTACTCAAGTACCAGTTTATCACAGAAGGAAAGCTCTGCATTTCCTCAACTTCCCAATGGAATCAGAGTTTCTAGTTCACTGGTGGCTCGGTGCTGCCAAATTGCCCCAAGTATGAATGCATGGGCTTTCTGCTCACACTTCTCCATATTGGTGGCAGAACCATGACAGAGTTGGGTTTCATTCTGATAACATCGCCTCGGTAAATGATGCTGTTCTCTGGACTGTATAAAATGATCACTTTGCTCATACTTTCATTTCAGGTGGGAAGGATATCATTATTTTGGGAGACTTCAGTCTGTCACCAGACTCCTGCGACATTGATCTCCTGCGGAAAGAGAAGTTTGTTCACTGTGTTCCAGCAAATACCTTCACAAACATTAGCACTAAGAACCCTCAGGGCTCAAAGTCTACAGATAATATCTGGATCAGTCGCTCACTGAAGAAGATGTACTCAGGTATGTACTGGACGGATCTTATCAGCACAGATTGGGTACGTGGGACAAGTGATTGCAATTTGGATTATTTTCCAATTAAAATAAACCATGTGATTCAAGGAACAGATGTCATGTGAATTCAATTAAGATGTTCCTGTGCACTTTCCATTGGTGCCATCTTGTGACATTAAAATCACACAGGATACAAGACGACAGCAAACATGCTGTGAGCCTGTCTGTTCTTTGGCAATGCTTATGCTGCTTGAGAATGGAATAATTGTATCCTCTCCAATGGGTGTCAGTTATTTTCCTCCTTTTCTCAGTGAATTAATCACCAACAAATACTGTTTTTTTTAAAAAAATATATGAAACCAGTCATCATAGTGTATCCTTAATACAAAATCAGAAACGCTTACAGCGAGACAATCAGCATCTGGAAGAGAAAAATACGTGAGCACTAATTTGGTTAGGTGCCGCTTCAGGTAGACACAGTGTCAAAGCATTTAGGTTTTTTTGTTATTTGTAAAATTATGGAACTTGACCACAGATTGAAATCTAAACTGAGATATTTGCAAACAAATGGATTTGTGGATAATTGTGATTTGTGGTTTGTGAGTATCAGATTGCCAATTGGGGATTCACAATTTGTTATCTGAAGTTGCACAGTTTGATAAACTTGCGGGTTTTGCACACAGCAGCATTTTTTGGGTGCTTTGCAAAACTCCAAACTGGTAAGTTCCTCAGTCTGTGTTGAGTGTGGAAAGGTAGAGGGACAGGATACACATTACCCCACATTACGAGTACGATCCTCACTCTCGTGTTCAAATCCCTGGCACATCCGACCTCTCCGACCTCCTCACTCCCCAATCCACCACCCGGTGCCTCCTCTCGACTCACCGGCCTCCTGCTCGTCCCTTGCACCCTCCGCCCCACCATCGGAGGTCACCCTATCAGCTACTACGCCCCAAAACTCTCGAACACTCAATCCCTCCACCTTGCCCCCTCCCTTTTTCAAGTCCCGCCTGAAAATCTTCCTCTTCAACCGTGCTTACGGCCACCTGCCCACCCTACCCCCACTCCTGCCACTATTAAGCGCTCTGAGACGCTACCCTTCGTGGAGGGTGCTATATAAGTGCAAGATGTTGTTGTTGTTGCTATAATGATATCCTTCCCAGTGTCCACTTTCAACAAAGATAGCTGTGCAACCACCTTGGTTTCCATCCCCAGCTCGGGTGCAAGCCAGGACTGTTAAGTGTCTTGGGACAATTACAGAGTAACAGGAATAGGCCATTCAGCCGCTCAAGCCTGTTCCACCATTCTATTAGATTCTCCCAACAGGATTGGTGCTACGTAAATTTGTATTGTAAGTTAGCATCACTGATTACTCCTGGTGTAAATGTGGTGCAAACCTTGTAAATTGTGATGGTGCGAAAAAAAACAAAGAGTAGTGTATCCACAACACAGTTTACCACTTTATGTAAAAGCTGCTCTCATACCATTTTCCACGTACTTTGAACTGTTTTTTTTTAATTGGTGCATTTGGGTAGTTTTAGCTGCTACTGTCATGTGATTCTCATTTCTCCACTCCCAGTTAATTTATTCTGCTCAGTTGTTTTTATTTGCTGCACAGGTTTCTTGTTTTTCCAGACTTGCCTTGATTGAGAATTCCATCTGTCATTTCCTTTGTATAATTACTGGATTGTTGTAAGGGTTTGTTTTTTGGTGGGTTAATTTTTCCCTGTCCCCCTTTAATCTCCGAGTTTGCTTCCCAGATTCAACAACGACAAATTACATTTGAATAGCGCCTTTCACATCAGGTGGACGTCCCAAGGCAATGGACAGTCAGGGATTTGGACCCGAGCAGGGGTTTGGGATCAGGAAGGGTGGAGGCCAGGGAGAATAGGGATAGGAGGATGAGAGGAACAGAGGCAGAGACGAAACCCCTGGTTGCGCTCCAACAGGGTTTTGAAGCTTCACTCTGCGTCCACAAGCATGACGCGCTATTACACGGATGGTTTCCTATTCATGGTCCTTTGGACTTTCCATGGCTTGCCTTTCTCAATGTTTTATTCTCTTCCCTTCCGCCCTATTCCAGGTCAGTGGGCCGTTGTTAGGGAAGGGCTGACTAATCCGTGGATTCCTGACAACTGGTCATGGGGTGGAGTGGCATCTGATCACTGTCCTGTCTGGGCAGAGTTCTATGTGGAAAAAGACTTGAACAGAAAAGGGCCATTTGGAAATGGCAATGGAGTGACTGTTGAACAAACAGAAGGAAGCACAAAGGATGAACGATGACGCACAACTCACTATTCCACACCGTGTTATTAGACTTTAATTACGAGCGAGAATTATTCATCATATCCTCAATGAAGCCTGTGAGTGACTGAATGTGAAAGAACCTAATCTGCCTTTTAACAATTAACCTTCGTCTGTGATTTAGTATTTACCTTCTGCTGCAAATGAGTATTTTTTTATATGAAAATAAATAAAAGAATATACCTAATAATAATTTAGAGGGAGGGGAAATGATTTTTTTTTAAAAATGGATGAAAAGACACTTTATGCTAAGTAACTTGGCGATGGATAGCAAACTAATGCATCCTGTTTAAACGAAAAGTAATTTTAAAAAAATGCAACAGAAAGGCATAAATATTCTATAGCCCCCAAAAATATTCTACAAAGTACTGCACTATTTTTGTTTGTTACCACTAACCTATACCTAGCTAGAGCACAGAAACTCCTGGCAAACGGTATTGGTCTGCTGAAGTGAAAGGTTGGACCTGTGTAACTAGCAAGCTGGAATAGCCGTGATGGGGAAGATCGTTTTACTCTGTAATTTTGTTTTGTTTGCACAGAACCGTAGTTGCCAAGTCTGGCATAGCAATATCATAAATTGAATATTGGATTTTATTTGTACTGAACTTGATGGTACTACAAAATATATATATATTATAAAACAAGAATGGCTACAGGAAGATTGCACATGTTCCCTGTAGGCAGTGTGCTATTGATGCTGATGTGGGTGCTACATTTTGCTTACATGGTGGGAAGTAAAGGGAAGATTCTGAGTTACAAGACCCCTCTGATGGTGAAGCTGGCCTGTTGGCAGACAGTGAGAGTCCACAGACACTTGAGGGCTGACTGTCTACCGAGCCTGTGACTTGAGCACCAAAATGGTACCTTCTATGACTGTTACTACAAATATAACTGTAATATGAACTGTGTGACTCTAAATTGCACATTGAAATGAGCTAATAAATGTTGACAGCAAATGGGACCAAACTCTTCATGTGCTGTTTTGATTGTTGGACTATTAAACTATTTGTGCTACTGAAGATAGTGGCAGTATTTGACAAGCAGAGTACAGTAATAGCTTCCTTTTTTTTCTGTACAAACTGCAACATATTGTTGCCTAACATGCGTTGATCTTGGACAAACCATTTCATGTAGTTCAGCAATGTGGTAATGTGTTCTGGTTGTTTATTATAGGTCGATGCCTTGAATTTGCAGGGCTGGGTTACTCCAACCTTGTCATTGTTTAAGGTGTTATGCAGAATGAGGAACTAGCATTAAGTAGCAACCTGGTTGTTAGTCGATTGCTGAACTGCTTTTCCAGGGGTAATAAATCCCTTTAAAAATAAATGCATAAATAAATGATTTGGTCATTCAATCCACGACTTCTTGGGACACAGCTGTGCATATTTGGATGTCACATTTTGCCCACAAAACATGTAGTCAATTTGCTTTACAGTAGATTCTGTGAAGCACTTTGAGACATCTCAATGATGTGATAAGGTGCTATATCAAATGCAAGGATTATTATTGTTAAACCTCCTATTCTGAGATCTGTATAAATGTTGAACTTTGGGAAAACCACCACATAACGAAATTAGGATCTTCCACCTTCAATCAGAGGAACCAACACATCTGTCAAACTGTTAGTTGCACTTTAAATGTTTGTGGCATTTATAACCAGATTTATTGTTCATGATGATGATAATTTGTACTTCTTCAAAGTACAGGAAATTATTTGTTGATTATTTTCCATGTTCAGCATTGATAATCTTTCAATCACTTTTAATAGGAGCTTCTATTTCAGGTTAATGAATTGATTTTTTTTATCCAATCAATAAATAAAGCAATAAAATTAATTTCCTTTATTAAATCTGACTGTAACCTGACAAGAGTATGATATTTGTTTATGCTTTTGATTTGTATTATACATTATATATTATGTGGTACACTCACAAGAGAAAAAAAATTATTTGTTAGGGTTTGCGGCAGTAAAATAGCTTCTTCACTGCATTCCTGCTATTGAAATTTACTCAGCCATAATATTGTATGAGTGTATTCACTGGGTGCCATTTGGAGAGTGTAAGAGTGGATGGTGAACAAACATGTTGCTGAAGGCACAGACTGAGTAAAGTTTCATGGGCATCATATTTGCCTAAATCGCCATTCTTCATCTGACATCTACATATTGGAGACTTTCCAAAAAGGTCACTGAAATTGCTGCTGAACTTTCCATCCGATGTCTAGGCACTGAGACATATTGCAATAATAATCCTTGCACTTAATATAGCACCCTATCACATTGTCAATATCTCAAAGTACTTCACTGGACTTTACTGCAAAGTGTGATGACCTGTAGTGCAATATTTGCAGGCAAATGAAACTGCTGATTTGCACGCAGCAAGGTCCCACAGTCATTGTGCTTTACATCAATTATCTAAAAAGTGCTTCAAGATTAAGTGTTTTGACATTTATAGGCATGATATTAAATGTGAGGTTATTATTGGTAACGTTGCTTGAAGCTTCAACCTCTGCATAAAGAAATATCTTCCTGGTATTTTTAACTGATTGGAAAGTCAGTAACCAGGGGATGCAAGTATAAGATACAACAAGATTACATTTGTATAGTGCCTTTCATGTCGGGAGGATGTCCCAAGGCCCAGTGTACAGCTTTTCAGACCCGAGCTGGGGTCAGGGAGGGAGAAGGGAGAGGGAGGGGGGCTGACTGATGGCATGGTCGAAGAGAAGGGTCTTGAGGCAGACTTGAAGGAGGTTAAGGAGGGGGCGAGGCGGAGTGATTGGGGAATCGAATTCCAGAGGTTGGGGGCAGAGTGGCTGAAGGCTCCCGCCAATGGTGAGGTGGGTGGGTCAGGGGACGTGGAGCAGGCCAGAGCCGGCTGAGCGGAGGGATAGGGTGGGTTGGTAGGGGGTTAGAAGGTCGCAGAGGTAGGGTGGGGCGAGACCATGGAGGGCTTTGTAGGTGATGGCCAGGATCTTGAACTGGATCCTCTGAAGGTTAGGGAGCCAATGGAGTCAGGCAAGTGTGGGGGAGATGGGGTCACGAGTTTGGTCCAGGAGAGGACACGGGCTGCAGAGTTCTGGAATATCAGTTTCAGTGGCCTGAGGGATGAAGTAGTGGCAGAGTCGGGCGATGTTACGGAGGTGAGGGAAGGCAGAGCGGGTCATGGCTTGGATGTGGGGAAGAAAAGACAGTTGAGGGTCGAACAAGACACCCGGGCTCCTGACTGGCGGTGAGTTGAAGTGTGCAACCATGGAGGTTGATGCTGCCAGAACCTGAGGTGCAGAGGCGCTGGTGCGAGCCAATCAGGAGGGCCTCAGTCTTGTTCACATTCAACTTTAGGAAATTTGCCCTCATCCAAGACTTGATGTCCGACAGGCAGTCTGTCAGGACAGCAGTGGTCCTGGAGTTGAGGGTGGGGGCAGAAAGATAGAGTTGGGTATCATCCGCATACATATGGAAGTTGACACCATGTCTGCAGATGATGTCACCAAGGGGAGCATGTAGATATTAAAGAGCCCTAGGGGATGCCAGACTTGACAGTGCGGGGACTGGAGGAGGAACCTTTAGAGGCAACAAAGTGAAGATGGTGAGAGAGATAGGAACTGAACCAGGCAAGTGCAGGTCCGCGAAGATTAAGTAAAGAGGAGAGGCGGTGTATGAGGATGGAGTGGTCTACAGTGTCGAAGGTGCAGAGAATTCGAGGAGGACAAGGAAGCAGAGGGAACCCTGATCACACATGTTCAGAATGTCATTAGTCACTTTGACCAGGGCTGTTTCCGTGCTATGGGCAGCGCGGAAGCCGGATTGGAGGTGTTCAAAGAGGGAATGGCGAGAGAGAAAGGAGTGGAGCTGGGACGCAATGATCCGTTCCAGGACCTTAGAGCAGAATGGGAGGTTAGAGATGGGGCGGTAGCTGGAGAGGAGTGATGGGTCCAGGGAAGGTTTTTTCAGGGTGGGGGTGATAACAGCTGTTTTTAGGTGGGTGGGAACTAAACCGGTGGCCAAGGAGAGGTTGATGACATCGGACAAGAGAGGGGCCGGAAGGTGGAGCTGGGGCATGAGGAGAGAGATGGGGATGGGATCGAGGGAGCAGGTGGTGGGTTTAAGTTTACAAATGATGGCAGTGAGGGAGGAGGGAGCGATAGGGTCGAAGGGGAATGGGTGAGGGGTGGGTCATGTGGGAGAGGTGATGTGGGGGTGGTGGTGGATAGGACAGAGGTGGGGGAACGTATCCTCGATTTTGGATTCAAAATGATAGATAGGGATCTAGAGTAGTATTTAGGAGGAACTACTTCACCAAATGCTGGTGAGATAGTGGAACTCACTGCCTGCAGTGATGGTTGAATCTGATAGTGTAGCTGCATCCATTGATGGTTGAATCAGATAGTGTTGATCTTCAGAATGTTGGAGATGAAAATAGAAGGGAGTAAAGTAATAATAATAATCCTTGCATTTGATATCACGACTTTGAGACGTCTCAAAGCGCTTCACAGAATATACTGTAAAGTGAACTGGCTGTATATTTTGTGGGTGAAACGCGGCAGCCAATTGCCTTGGATTTAAACACCGGCTTGGACTGGTTGGACCGAGTATTCTGTTTCTGTGCTGTATAATCTATGTAATGTGTCCTTGTACCTTGGCATATCTTATTGGATTGTTCTGGGTTTGTTTTCTCTCTAAGCATCTTGCAAACCTTTCTCGGACCCCTTTGATGTCTGTCTTTTTGAGGTTTAAGAGTCCTATAGTTCCTTTAACAAACAGAATCAATTCTGTTGCTTTCTCAGGAGGCCCAAGGATCAGTTGTGCTGGAAATAAATATTTTATTTGTATTTTGAGCTTTAATCATAAAAATGCATCAAAATGCATAAATCCAAAATATCATGACATTAAGAATTAAGCATTTTCATATTGTTTCAAATTCCACTCTATTCAATGTGAATATTTTTGATCCCCCCAGCCCCGCCACCCCAACCTTGGGCTCCCAGTTAGCTGTGAATAGTGCTTTGAGATGTTCTCCCGCTATGATAAATAAATTGTCGTTGAAACATAGCACATTATGAAATGCAACAATTTTCCAACAAAGAATGGCCATAATCAGTGAACACCCCGAAATTGCCACTATCTTAGTGCTTGGGATGTGGTCATATGGCTGATCCAATTACTTTAGGTTACAGAAACAACATTTAAGCTACTTCACTATGTATTAACTGAATTCAGTAATTGTCCTGTTTTTAGCAGAATTCACATGTTGATTGCCACAATCGAGAGCAGAGAAATTTTGAGTGCAAACCATTGGACTGATGCCAAGTTGAAACAAACTACATCAACATCTGATTTTCATTGTTCTTTACAGAAGAATTACCCCGTTTGTCTTTTGTTGCAGTATTTACTATTGAATGGAAATCTAGTACTTGTAATTCTGGTTGTAAATGTAACTCATTAATTAAACACAAAACAGTGCCTCAAAGAATTACTTGCAATGAGTTCCTCTGAACTGCCAAGGCTCTTGTTGTTATATTAAATGTGCCCAACAGCTGTGAACAAACCTGGGAGCTCAGATGTACCATTCCTTGAATGCTTCTAAATAATAAAATATTCCTTGCAATTGATATAGCACCTTATCACGTCTTTGAGACATCTCAAAGCTCTTCACAGTAGAGTGAATTGATTGTATATTTAATGGGCAAAACGCAGCAGTCAACTGTGCACAGCAGTTTCCCACAAACCGTTGTGGATTGAATGACCAAATTATTATTAGTTTTTTTTAAGAGATTATTACCACTGGAAAAGCAATCTTTGAATCGACTAACAACCCAAGGCGCTGGACAGTCAATGTTTCGGACTTGAGCTGGGGGTCAGTATCGGGGAGGGTGGATGGCCGGGGGGGGAAAGAGGGTAATTGAAGGCACAGTCGAAGAGGAGGGTTCTTCGCCCAGGTACGAAGCCAATCAGGAGGGCCTCAG